TGTCTTCTACCACAGCCGCCAAGACTATCCAGGTGTTGAGGAACATTTTTGCTGCACACGGGTTGCCAGATGTTCTAGTGTCGGATAACGGTCCTCAATTTACTTCTACTGAGTTTCAGGGATTTCTTCGGACCAACATGATCCGCCATGCTGCTTCGGCTCCCTTCCATCCTTCCACCAACGGTCTGGCTGAACGGATTGTCCGCGTACCAAGGACGCCCTCAAGAAGCTGACTTACGGCAACTGGCATCACAGGTTGGCTGACTTCCTTTTGGCACATCGTACTACTCCGTGCACTGCCACGGGTAAGTGCCCGGCCGAACTCCGCTGGGGTCGTCGGCTCGTGACTAAATTGGACAGGCTGCATCCGGAGCATGTAGCTGCACAGGTGTCTCAGCCACACCCACCACGGGTCCTACGTGAAGGTGATCCTGTCTGGGCCAGGAATTACGGGCCTGGCCACCTTTGGGTACCAGCTGTGGTCTGTAAAGTCTCGGGGCCTCTGTCTTACGAGGTGTCCCTGCCAGACAGCCGCGTGCTTTGCCGCCACATCGATCAATTACGTGTGAGGCGGGACGCGCCTATGGTTCCTCCTCAGTCTCCTCTGGGGGGGGAGGAGGAATGGGAAATGCATTCTGGGATTCAAAATCAACAGCCTACGTTGGCTGTGGGAAGGGAAACGGGTAGGCAACACCCAACTTCCACAGGTGCTTCTGGTAGCAGTTCGTGGGAAAGGGAGTACATAGACACCCACACACACACTCCAGCCTGGGAGTCCCACAGGTGGCAGACTAATTATCCACCCCTATTAAACAATACTCCAGACACGGAGAATACATGGGAGCATACTCAAAACTCACAACATGCAAGAGAGCAGGCAATACAAAGGGGGAACACGTCCCATGCTGAAAGGGCTCAGAGGAGGTTGTCCTCATGCATCAGGGCTAACAGGGAGGCATCCCTAATCCCTAGCACTACAGAAACGAGCCAGGAATCCTACATTCCTTCAGGGAACACGGGAATGAACTCACAGGGGTTCGATAACTCCATTGAGGGCTGGTCAACCAGGTTTAACGACCAACAGGGCCCAGACTGCTCAAGTACAGGAGATGGGCTGGGAAGCCAAGTTGAAGTCACTGGTCATTCACAGAGCACTTCACCTAGAGCAAGCAGCAACGGGGATAACAATACAAACTCTCCAGGTCTGAGAAGCTCACTCAGGGCAAGAGGCCCTCCCAAATACCTAGCCGATTATGTAAGGTGAACAGGTACATAGCGAGAGCTGACTGAAGGTACTGGCGGGTTGTATTTAAGTAAAACAAGGTCGGGGGGAGTCACTGGATCTGGTTCAAAGGAACAGTCCCACACCTTATACATTGTGTAACTTATTTCATTATTTAATTGTATTACCATCTATAGGATGGCGTCCATGTGGGCGCAATCTTATTTCATCCAGGGGAAAGGGGTGTTGTGTCCTGAGCCTGCAAGATGCAGGCTCGGGACGTTGCAAGAGTCCCGGGCATTTGCAGAAGCTGCCCGGGACCAGACTGAGCGGCGCCGGCCTTGTGCGCATGCGCAAGGTGGGAAAAGCCCGCCTCATGATTGGTTGAACTTGCCCGGGGATCAGAGGGTATAAATAGAGGCCTGCGTGCCTCTGCTCTGGTTGTTCGTAGAATGGAGCAAACAATAAAGACTTGTTGGAGATGTTCCGTCTCAAGCGCCATTATTCCCAGGACTTAACAATTACTGTTGAAAAGCAATAGCAAGCTATTAAAGTGGTTCACTCCCCTTTAATTTCCCCCATAGCCCTAGAGTCTGCTGATGTTATTTTTATAATCGTATTATTGGAAGCAACATAATCATCTGAAGAAGATAGTGAGACTTTTAATTTTGTGAGAAGAATGAATGACAATGTCAGTTTTACCTTTGTGGAAAACGAATCATATTTTTCCTTCAGAAGGGTACAGTTGTCTGTGACCTGAGCAAGGGAATACATATAGTTAGTTGCAACTTCCTTCCAGGTGCAACAGTCTTTGCATTTGTCTTGAATTAAGTTGGTCTCCCCATATAAATGAAGCAAAAAAAAAATCTCCTGTTTTGCTTGTGTGTAATTTGTATCAACTCCTTGAATATTCTCCTTTGCTCATTAAGTGGGCCTGCTCCAGTGGTGGGATTCAAATATGCGAACAACCGGTTCTCTGTGTGGATGCCGCACATTCTGGGCCTGGGCAACAAAAAATTAGCTACCGGTTCTGCCAAAGTGGTGCGAACTGGCTAAATCCCACCACTGGCCTGCTCCATCTGAGAAGGGATGACCACCTTCTCATTAAATGCAGCCTCTGTTTTCACCAGATTCCTTTGAAACAGGAAAATTAATATCCTGTATCTAATAACAGCTTGCAACTTTTCTAGAACATTTGCCAGATAGATTGATATGAGATAGATGTTAGATAGATAGATAGATAGATAGATAGATAGATAGATAGATAGATAGATAGATAGATAGATAGATAGATAGATAGATGGATGGATGGATGGATGGATGGATGGATGGATGGATGGATGGATGGATGGATGGATGGATGGATGGATGGATGGATGGTATGTAGGTAGGTAGGTAGGTAGGTAGGTAGATAGATAGATAGATAGATAGATAGATAGATAGATAGATAGATAGATAGACAGACCCCCATTATGTGAAAATATAATTCACTATATGTTTCTGCAACTGCTTTGATATCTTCAATTACCTATATGTCATATAAAGCCTGAAGCTTTATATTACATATATATACATATACATTATACATATACATAAAATTATCTTTATTTGTATTTGCTATATTAATCCCCATGCATGTGATTTTTGCTTATTTTACTGTGTAACATGACAATCAACTAATCCATTTAGCTTCAGTTAGAGGCATGGCTTTATACATTAAACATGAGGTATGGATAAGGATTCCATACATAATAATCAACGTCTTTTGTAAATCAAACTTAGCTGAAGGAACCTAGTTGTAAACTTTGGACGTGTGTTCTAACTCATTGTATATATTTTTTTTTCTTATATTAAAGTATTCTGGCTTATGGAAAAAGCAGGACCCCTGGAACTATCAAAAACTTTCTTGGTATGTATAACAAAGTGCCTGAATATATGGTATTTTTAATTTTATGCATTGCATGTACTATAGATGGATTTTTGTATAAATGCACTTTGATAAAATTGTATCTATTTATCTCTTTAATTATTTATTTAATATGCAAATGATTCTAGGTGGCTTAAAATTAAAATCATAATATAAAACTATTTAAACTATTTAAAAAATCCTTAAGACTATTAAAATTATTAAAAACTAGACTGAATTGTGTGACTGTTATTTAATGTGCGCCTTTCTGTATTTTATGCCATTTGGATTTAATATATTTTGTATCTGATATAAAGTGCTTTATGCACATTATTTCAGTAAGTAAGATAATATCCCTGATTTTATTCTACAACTCTCATAATACCAACTAGAACTATACTAGTACATTAGATTTTTCCGCTTGTACATCCAGTCTACTCCTTAAAACTACCTTGTTCAGCGTCTCCTCAAACAGCTGGTCTGCAGACTTTCCCCGCTCATTGGGGTTAAGTTGATATCCAAAGATTTCATTATCGTCAAATATCATTTTTTGTCTGACATTTTGAATTAAATACCAGGCATTCTTATCAGTCTGAGTGAATGGATGTAGACGAAGTTTAAACTTGTCAATGTATTCACGTACAATTCTGTGAAGGGAAAAGAAATCCAGATTTATTTGCAAGCTTATTTCTTTATCACAGCAAGCAAAAAACACAAATTTATCAGATTAAGAGTTGTTCTATTCTGGCCTTGTCTGGTTCTCAATGACCACCAAAGGACAATTGTCTGTCCCTACCATAGTTCTCCTGGAATTGCACCTTAGAGACACTGTGTCATGGTTCCAATTAACAAAACACTTCAAAGAACTTCCAGGCACTGTTTATCCTAAAAAGTCTTTAATCGTGTAACAAACTGTTGGCACAGCATGGAGGATGCCAAGATCTGAATTCCCCTCCCCTGAGCACATAATATTCCAGCATATTCCCCTCCTCTAATTTGCAGTCATACTGTAAATCACTTCTCCAATTAGTTTGAAGGGCAAAGTTTCCCTTCCATTCTGTGGTTTCTTATCTTAACTAATCCCCACACACATTCTTTTTCCTCCCCTCCCAGCATCATCTAATTTAACTCTAAAAATACCACACAGCTTATACAGAGAGTGGCTGCCTTCATATTTTGTCAAAGCAAGAACATCCAATGTTAGCAGCGTTGACACGCTGCCCATGATCCAGGAAATAGCTTGCAATCCTAATGACTATTTGCTTTGATAGCAAGGCAAGATTGTATAACCCCCCACTGTAAAATTATATTTAAAAAAAAGTTTCACACCTCAGCTTTCCATCACAGAAACACGGTCGTTATAGGTGAGTCAACAGTTTCAAGGAAGTATTTATCCATAATTTAATACAGAAGTTTGCAGTAATAGCACAGTTTCCAAAATGACACAATTCTAGTCCTACTCTCTGGAACTCTCCACTACCATCCAAAATCTAGCTGACCTTGACACAGCTGGCATTTCCGAAAGCTTTAAAAAGGTGGCCATTTTTCCAGGTTTAGGAAATTAATAAGGCCCATGAAATTGGCTATTGCTACCACTATATGGAGATTTATTATGGCTATTGTTACCAGGTGTCTTTAAATGAGTTTTACTTTTATATGGGCCACCCAGAAATGATGTTGCAAGATGTACTAGTGCAAGCTTTCTGGATAGTTTTCAGAGTCAAGTCCTTATCAACATAACTGTTGTCCTGTTCCAGTAAGCAACTTAACAGTTATCATCTTTCTAACAATATGCCTAGCATTTCAGGAAGGCAACAATTTATTAAATGTGAATGAGTTTGCCTCTTACATCAAATGATGGATGGTGAAAGACCTTTCAATCAATCTTACCTCTGTGTTTTGGGCAATCGCATTGGCCCCACATCTATATACCAGCCTTTTTCTCGGTGGGTCTTTATGCGTCCTCCCACACGGTTACTGGCTTCCAAGATCACAACCTAGGAGAAAAGAGTACTGATGGGGAATGGATTGTTCTAATTTCTCTCTCTTCTCATAATGGTTTGGTGATCTGTACTTAGGTGTGCCTCCTCCAAATTCCCCTTTGATTTCACATGAACATTGATTTATATTTACAAACCCTACAACCCACATCCTTATTGTCTGGAGCTATATTCTCTGTTGGCTATTAATATATTACAGCAATTGTTATAAACCTTTGTCCTTTTATTCCTCCTCCTCCTTTTCCCTCTTCCTCTTCCTCCTCTTCCTCCTCCTCCTCCTCTCTTCTCTCAAAGCCTGCTTGGACAAGTCCCTACAGTTTTATTGGCGAAGTATTTTCAGGAGTGATTTGCCATTGCCGCCTTCCTGGGTCTGAGAAAGAGTGACTGGCCCAGGGTCATCCAGATGGCTTTGAGCCTAAGGCAGGACAAGAATTCAGTCTCCTGGTTTCTAGCCTGTTGCCTTAATGTCTACACTATATTGGCTCTTCTAGGAGACCATAAATTAAATAAAAAATTCAAATGATTGAAGTAAATATTCACAAACAAATAATAATTAATTTTTAGTCTTTATATTATTCATCAAATATAGAGGTAGTCCTCAGCTTACAACCATGACGGGGAACAGAATTTCCATTGCTGAGCAAGGCAGTTGTTAAGTGAGGTGTGCTCAATTTTACTATTTTTTTTTGCCATGGTTGTTAAGCAAATCACTGCAGATGTTAAGTAAGTCACATGGTTGTTAAGCGAATCCAGCTTCCCCCATTGACTTTGCTTATCAGAAGCCTGCTGGGAAGGTGGCAAACGATGATCACATGATCCTGGAATGCTGCAACCATCATAAACGCATGCCAACTGCCACACATCCAAATTTTGATCATGTAACCATGGGGATGCTGCAACAGTTGTAAGTACGAGGATCGGTCATAAGTCACTTCTTTCAGTACCGTTGAACTTTCAAATGATTGAAAGTCAAGGACTACATCAACTTGCCCATCCCCACCCATCACAATGACTGCTTCTGGTCCGAAACCATCCCAACACACCTAATTTATCTTTTCATTAACTGAGTAAAAGGCAATTGGGTAATTACCTGATGTCCAGCTTCTCTGAGTAATTTGGCAGCAGTCAGTCCACTTATTCCTGCTCCAACAATCACAACTGTCTTAGGCTTCAAGTTCCTTCCTAGACCATGTCTGGCAACATCCAGCCACTTTTCATATTCAGGATCTTGGAAACACTCTTCCAGGTTGGTAACATCACTTTCTGATCTCAGCACACCCAAGAATAATAAAAGAAGTAGTACTAGAAATAAGCAAAAACAGGTAAGAATTTATTTTTTATCCTAATCTCTTCTTATTCTCTACTAATATCTATTTCACTTGCATCTAACAGCTTTTGAATATTTTGAAGTATGGATAATAGATTGAAAAATGGAATGCATCTTGTCATGGTTTGGAACATTTCAATCCCTTTGATTCCCCCCACCCCCCAAATTTTCTGTTCTCAACCCCAGCATATCTACTGGGTATCCTCTTTGGGGCGTGTGTGTGTGTGTGTGTGTGTGTGTGTCTGTGTCTGTGTGTGTGTATGAATGCAGATTATTGGTGAGCTCTAATCCTGCTCTAGGCACAAAGCCAGCTGAGGGACTTTGGGCCACTGACTCTATCTCACCTCTAGGAAACAGGGAATGGCAAACTACTTCTGAAGTTGTTGCCAAGAAAACTGCATGAGATTGTCTATGTTTTGACAAGGACTGGGGTTAATATTGGTATAAAGGCATTCCCCCACCAGCCACATCAAAAAAAATTAGCTACTGCTATTAATGATCCTATATGATCTTTATGAAAAGTCTCGGGTATGACTGAAAATGGAAAATTGTGTTAATGATGGGTTAAAATATTGTTGATGGTGGATTTCCCAAAAAATTCAATATAAAGGCAAGCCAACTGGATGTAGAATCCCAGCTTTATATTCTATGTTCTTTGCAATGTGCTATAACAGACACGTTTTTAAAAATATATTTTATGCAACTGAACTCATAATATTGTAATTATCCTGAGGATTTCCAAATGGTTTTTTGAATGTTGTGCACAATGTTCAGAATAATCTAATTCAATTAATTCTGTTTCTGTAACATTTAATTTCTATGGCTGCTCAGCTTTGGTAAGCAGCACTGAGTAGTGTACATAGTTAAAGCCAATAATACAAAAAAAAAAAGGGAACCCAACAAGAATAAAGTAAAAATGTGGCAGTCCTGATATATCACTTTGTTCTGTTCTTCAATTCCCATGCTATTCTAAATTTCTTTTTTTATGCCTTCGGGTCATAAATACTAAATGCCGACTCTTTTATGTGGTCAAATGCTTCAGAGGTTGACTGGGAAATATATGATTCATGATCTAAACAAGCTTATTTTTTAAATTAATTGAAGGGCAAAAATTTTCTACTTGAATAATAATTCTGCATCCTTTATCCTACCATTTCATAGGTTCTATTTCACCTGCGTTTATGAGATCTGGAAAACCACAAAAGATCTAAAGGTGAGTAATCAAAGTAGATCTGTGTCATGAATTTCCACTAGGAAATTTGCTTTATAGCAACATTACGGCAGAAGATAAAATAAATGGAGGAATGCAAGTACTAATATGCTAAGTTCTTCTGATTAGGTATGTGGCAAAATATCTTAAAACAACACTCTTTCATTTACTCCACTAAACAGATACACACAAATTTGAGCTGGTGCCACTTTCCAAGTCAAATATTTCTGGCCATGGGATCCAAACATTCTAATTTTTTTAAAATTCATCCTACTGCATTTACAGTCAATCTACTAGCTTAATAAAAGGTTGGTTGGTTCATTCATTTATACAAAATCAGATTATTAGTCTGCCTGATCCTAACATTTCCTAATATGGTGTCCTCCATACATTAACTTCTACTATCATGGCACAATGTATCACATACAAAAACACAATAATAAAAGCAAGTTTATCTTACTCTACTGCAGAGAAACACAATTCCTATTCTCCTCAGATCCTTTTCAATAGAAAGATCAGGGACTGAATCTCTGGCTTCTTAGGCTTACTATAACACTGTTACAAATTTTAACCTGCATTGGAATCTCAGAACAAAATAATTCACTTACAGAAGGATCCCATCATCTTTTCATCAGTTGATAGCTCTCTAACCGATTGTATTTTATGGAGAGCAAATAGTGCTGAACAGCCTAGTAATGTGGTTGAGAATCCAAGAAAACAGGCTTTCTCACATAAAATCTTTCTCTTGACAAATGTTTTATAATGCAATCACTTCCCCTAGGGCTATTCCAGCAAATGATGGTTCGTGTTATCTGATAAGCTTAAGCAAAGTTAGGATTGCACATATTTGACAGCAACAATGCCATGTCGTGATTTCCTAGAATATTGCATAGAAAATGTATATTTTTTTATTTATTGCTTTTATAGTAATAACATAAAAAGAAAAGGAAAAGAATACAAGAACAATTATAGTGTAGATACATACATTCTCAAAAAAAGAAACAATGCATAAAAAGTGGTTTTTTTAAAAAAAAGGTGAAAGAAAAACTAAAAACTACAACTGAAAAAACAAATTATAATATATTGTTATAACAGTTCTACAATTCTGCAATATATATGCAAATATTATTCAAGTATACACACACACACACATTTATAGAACTATCATTCATCTTTAACCTATTGTCCTTTGTATAAACACATCCCATACATCCTTTGAATTATCCATAAAAAGTCTACATTCTTAGGCAGTCTATCCTAGGTGGCAATCATATCTTCAATCCATTGGATAAATTGGGCCATGCATTTATCTTTCCAAGGCTGTATTATTGATCTTTTGGCCGTAATAAGGGCATGGAGAATCCATTTATATTGTCCAATTGTCAAAGTTCATGAAATAAATATGAAATTTGAGAGAATATTACACTCTGAAAATTTTAATTTTTGTCACAGTCATATTTATATAATCCACTACTTTCCCCCCAAACCTAATAAGTATAGGACATTGTAAAAAAAAAGCATTAAAGCATTAAAGAAGCATTATTCTTATTACATCTTCAACAATAGATAATCCCCTTCTATACAGACATAATATAAAGTAAATTCTATAATCTAAATTCTAAATTTTATTTTTGCTTTATAAGTTGTAGTTTAAGATCCATTAATTCTCATGATATAGAAGTGAAGACTTCTATATCATGAGAATTGTCTAGCCCAGGGGTTTGCAACCTTAAACACTCAAAGAGCCACTTGGACCCATTTCCCAGAGAAAAGAAAACACTAGGAGCTGCAAAACCTGTGTGCGCACACACGGGGGGGGGGGGGGACCTTGATTGAAGAGTTTAATTAAAAAGAAATACAGGCTGCTATGCATGAGTTCTCTCTCTCTCTCTCTCTCTCTTTCTCTCTCTCTCTCTCCTCTCTTTCCTCTCCCTCTCTTTCTCTCTCTTTCTCTCTTTCCTTTCACTTTCTCTCTCTCTCTCTCTTTCTTCTCCTTCCCTCTCTCTTTCTCTCTCTCTTTTGTCTCCCTCTCTCTTTCATCTCCCTCTCTTTCCTCTCCCTCTTTCTCTCTCTTTCCTCTCTTTCCTCTCTCTCTCTTTCCTCTCTCTTTCTCTCTCTCTCTTTCCTCTCCCTCTCTCTCTCTTTCTCTCTCTTTCTCTTTCTTTCCTCTCTCTCTCTTTCTCTTTCCTCCCCCTCTCTCTTTCTCTCTTTCTCTTTCTCTCTCTCTTTCCTCTCTCTCTTTCCTCCCCCTCTCTCCCTCTCTTTCTCTCCCTCTCTCTCTCCCTCTCTCTCTCCTCTCCCTCTCCCTCTCTTTCTCTACATCTCCCTCTTTCTCTCCCTCTCCCTCTCTCTTCTCTCTCTCCCCCCTCTCTCTCCCTCTCTCTCCCCCTCTCTCCCTCTCTCTCTTTCTCTCCCTTTCTTTCTCTCTCCCCCTCTCTCTCTCTCTTTCCTCTCTCTCTCTCTTTTTCTCTCTCTCTCTCTCTCCCTCTTTCTCTCTCTCTCTCTTTCTCTCTCTGTCCCTTTCTCTCCCTCTCTCTTTCTCTCTCTCTCTCTTTCTCTCTCTCTCCCTTTCTCTCCCTCTCTCTTTCTCTCTCTCCCTATCTCTTTCTCTCTCCCCCCTTCTCTCCGATCTTCTGCTCACCTGGCAAGATGGCTTCAGGCTGTTCTCCAAAAAGCTGACTCACATTATTGGGCTGGCTCTCTCCTGCCCTTCCTGCTTCCTGCAGAGACGCAGCAAAGGGGGGAGCCCCACCCAATAAGCTTGTCAGCTCATTGGAACAGCGACAGGCCACTCTCTTTTTTACACATACACAGAGAGAGGGGGGAGTAGGGAAGCGCAAGTGCCTCTCTCTCTCTCTCTCTCTCTCTCTCTCTCTCTCTCTCTCTCTCTCTCTCTCTCTCTCTCTCTGCAAATGGCAGAGGAGGCTGGGAGCCACAGGAGAAGGCTCAAAGAGCCACATGTGGCTCCGGAGCAGCAGGTTACTGACCCGTGGTCTAGCCAATAAAGGAACTTCTAATTGTTAACTCTGCTCATTTCTTAGAATGTATATATCAAATTCAAATAAAATATCAAATAACAAATATCCATAAAATTAATAGTAGCTATTTTAGTTTTAAAGAATTGAACAAGCTGTTTTAGTAGGTGTCTCCAAAGCTGAAAATGTTGGTGAATCAAACAAAATTGTTAACAAATATTGTAGTTGTAAATATTGCCATTGGGTTACATCTGATAGATGATACATATCTCTTAACACATTAATTATTAATTGTCTATTAGTTGGCCCAAAGTCAATATGCCTGCTTCCATCAAATTTTTCCATATTACCATCTTTTTCTCAGTTTTTAAAATCGGTTTTCCCATAAAGTCAATTTAGCATGGGAAAAGGGGTCAAATCTTCTTTTATTAGACATTACATTTCATAACTTTCTAACTGACATAATTGTTTCCAGACATACTAGTTCTAGTGCAGGAGTCTGCAACCTTAAACACTCAAAGAGCCACTTGGACCCGTTTTCCAGAGAAAAGAAAACACTGGGAGCTGCAAAACCTGTGTGCGCACACACGCACGCACACAAGGGGTGGGGACCTTGATTGAAGAGTTTAATTAAAAAGAAATACAGGCTGCTATGCATGAGTTCTCTCTCTCTCTCTCTCTCTCTCTCTCTCTCTCTCTCTCTCTCTCTCTCTCTCTCTCTCTCTNTTTCTCTCTCTCTTCCTCTCCCTCTCCCTCCCTCTCTCTCTTTTCCCTCTCTCCCTCTCTCTCTCCCT